CTACCCGGAAATGACCGGAAAGAGAAATGGCCTTTGGCTGAAGAGCCGATCGGGTTCGATGGCAAGAGAATTAATCAGGTAATTACTACTAATTAGCAGGGAAATAACACGCTGATTGCTCGCTGTCAATCAGGCAATTATATGCAGTTAAATTGTCACCCGCACGCGCAATAGATGACACGTGCCTGTAGATAGCATTTTGCATTAGTTTCCGACAAGTGAAATTAGAGACAAAATCGTTGATGACATTTCCGGGGTTTTGTGACAGTTGAATTATGGGTCGAGGCGTTGTGAAGAATATCGGATCACCCCCAGTTCCTCATAAACTGTATCAACATATTTTTAATATATTAATATACTGAAAAGGGGAATCAGGTAAGTGGTTTATCTTTTCCTTGCTATAACAAAGGCAATATCCCGTGCATGCGAAGAGAAAGATGAATAATTATCGCGAATCTAACTATTTATACCTAACGTTCATGTAAAATGGGAAAATGTTTTATAACACAAATATGCACACCTTTCTCACTTTCCAGCACATTGTATATATCCTGTAGTAAAACTATATATATCTATATGTTTCTACAATATCAAGCTTCCATTGCAAGTTGTTCATCCCCAATATGTATAATTATGTTAAACGACCATAAGTGGTGCACTTGTGCCAAATCCCTATGTCTTTTGAACATTAAAATATGTTTAAACAAATACACGACAAATATCGTTTGTTGTTTGGTTGATTGGTTGACTGATTGATTGGCCCAAGCAGTAGTACAGCTCTATGACCGCGGTAGCAAACCTCGTCACAGGATTTGACCCTGCTGAGGAAGGACATGCAGTACGACCCTGTCTGTTACTAAATAGTTACGATGAACATGAAAGTATAAAAAGCTTTTACAAATATGTATAAAAGAACTGTCTGTCCACATCCGGCTTGATTCCGGAAGTTCGTGATTTACATGATATCGCAGTTCTGTATATCTAACATATTACAAAGGTACTGCGACAAAAAATGGATGTTCCGGTTCTTGATGTCATGTTCAAATCTTTAGTCATGAAACGTACGTGCCAGTATCTGCGCACATCCGGGCTGTTTATCTATATATCTATGTGTGTGTGTGTGTGTGTGTGTGTGTGTGTGTGTGCGTGCGCGCTATCCTGTCACGTTCCCATACATGAAATGGTGAACTTCGGCTACCTACGTCCCCCCAACCAAACACACACACACGAACCAATCCCCGACCGCCACAAACACATGCAAAGGCAAGGCATTTCTTCCCCTGAACACTCGCGGGTCATGCCGGCAGCTGAGAAAGAGGTCGTCGGTGAAGTATATAGGAGTTAAACCATTACTGTTAGTGAAGTATTTAGGGGTTGTACCACTACTGTTGGTGAAGTATTTAGGGGTTGTACCACTAGTGTTGGTGAAGTATTTAGGGGTTGTACCACTGAAGACAACAAGAAGTGTAATGCATGGTTTGATATCCATCGGAATATATGACGCCTCTCAATAAAATCATACTTGAGAGAAGAAAAGAATGACAGTGGATTTGTCTCTGACATGCGGTGCTATGACAGGACCTCAACACTGTCGACTGTCACGTACATACCGCGACTAGCACTAGGAGGTCCACTCACGCATCCATACTGTGGGTATTACGAAATTTATCGATTTGATTCTGATCCCGGAAGTCTCATTCACACGTCCGCCAAAACCGTGAACAGTTCCGGATGTACAAGTACACCGAGTTTTTGACGGTGTGATAACAAAAGTGTCTCCTGAGCGGCGTAGAACATGAATCAGCCAACCAGGTGTACTTACCTGTCCGACTAGCTCTCTACTCGCGACCCAACAATTCTTCCCCATTCCTATGTGACATATTCTAAACTCTCTCTCTCTCTCTCTCTCTCTCTCTCTCTCTCTCTCTCTCTCTCTCTCTCTCTCTCTCTCTCTCTCTCTCTCTCTCTCTCTCTCTCTCTATCTCTATCTCTCTCTGTATTTAAGATAATTCACATTGTCTCAGCACTGTCTTTTGCCTATAAATACCAACACTCCAAATCGTTTTGGTATCCACGGTAACCGACACTGGAACACAAGGATATCATTTGAATTATATTTCCATATTCGCATGACAGATGTTTAATTTCCGATGTGGAAATTAAACCAGAAATTCGTATTTGGAGTATGATGTTTAAGTATATATAGTTGTCAGTCACGTGCTAGATGAAGGAAACGCTTGTGATATCAACATCCCCTTGCGTCAAGGGGTGATCCTAACATCCCACCGCAGGAAGCGCATGTGTGTGACAGTCTCGAGTGTGTTGAGTATTGCTCTATGACGTGTCGGGGAAGGTCTGAAAGTCTGTCGTTTATGAACCTTCCATCAGATATATATCAGTTTATATGATTTGGTTGGTTGTTGCTCATAACGTCAACCTCTGGTTTGAATGATCGACAGGTTGAAAGCCGTAAATCAGTTGGGGAAGGGGGAAGGGTTTAGACTGAAAGTGTTGGTTAGAGTGAAGGTTTTGGACTGAAGATTATGGTACGGAGAAGGGTTTAGACTGAAAGTGTTGGGTAGAGTGAAGGTTTTGGACTGAAGATTATGGTACGGAGAAGGGATTAGACTGAAAGTGTTGGGTAGACTGAAGGTTTTGAACTGAAGATTATGGTACGGAGAAGGGTTTAGACTGAAAGTGTTGGGTAGACTAAAGGTTTTGGACTGAAGATTATGGTACGGAGAAGAGTTTAGACTGAAAGTGTTGGGTAGAGTGAAGGTTTTGGACTGAAGATTATGGTACGGAGAAGGGTTTAGACTGAAAGTGTTGGGTAGACTGAAGATTATGGTACGGAGAAGGGTTTAGACTGAAAGTGTTGGGTAGAGTGAAGGTTTTGGACTGAAGATTATGGTACGGAGAAGGGTTTAGACTGAAAGTGTTGGGTAGAGTGAAGGTTTTGGACTGAAGATTATGGTACGGAGAAGGGTTTAGACTGAAAGTGTTGGGTAGACTGAAGGTTTTGGACTGAAGATTATGGTACGGAGAAGGGTTTAGACTGAAAGTGTTGGGTAGAGTGAAGGTTTTGGACTGAAGATTATGGTACGGAGAAGGGTTTAGACTGAAAGTGTTGGGTAGAGTGAAGGTTTTGGACTGAAGATTATGGTACGGAGAAGGGTTTAGACTGAAAGTGTTGGGTAGACTGAAGATTTGGTACGGACTGAAAGATGTTGGGTAGACTGGGACTGAAGATTATGGTACGGAGAACGGTTTAGACTGAAAGTGTTGGGTAGACTGAATGGTTTGGACTGAAGATTATGGTACGGAGAAGGGTTTAGACTGAAAGTGTTAGGTAGAGTGAATGGTTTGTACTGAAGATTATGGTACGGAGAAGGGTTTAGACTGAAAGTGTTGGGTAGAGTGAATGGTTTGTACTGAAGATTATGGTACGGAGAAGGGTTTAGACTGTAAGTGTTGGGTAGAGTGAAGGTTTTGGACTGAAGATTATGGTACGGAGAAGGGTTTAGACTGAAAGTGTTGGGTAGAGTGAAGGTTTAGATTGAAGGTGTTGGTGGGTAGGACAAAGGGTTTGGACTGAGCACAAGCACACAAGCTCTGTGTACACGCAGACGCTGCCATGTTGATGGAGAGTCCGGAGGCCAAGTTTCCGGACTAAGCAAGTTTAACAATACCAGACTTCAATACTGTATGTGGGATATAATATTAGGAGGCACCGGAATCAGTTGTGTCCCTTTGTCGTGCCAGGATTCGACAAGCGTCGTTTCGTATCATTAATTGTAGGCTACTGATTGATATTCACCCGTGAAGATCCGAGTTAATATTGATCTTCAGCAACCCACGCTTGTCGTAAGAGGCGACTAACGGGATCGGGTGGTCAGGTCTAGCTGACCTGTTTGACACGTGTCTTCGTATCCCAATTGCGTAGATCGATGCTGATGCTGTTGATCACTGGATTGTCTGATCCAGACTCGATTATTTACAGACAGACCGCCGCTATATAGCTGGAATATTGCAGAGTGTGGCGTAACACTAAACTCACTCACTGATTGTGATTGGTTTGTAGAGCACACTAACATGACTGGGGGTTAAAACCAAGCTACCTCACTCACTCACTGTCTCTCTCTATCTCTCTCGTAAAGATAATTAAATTGACACGTTAAGAGACACAGTCGTGTCGAGAACAGTATATCAACCAAAATAAACCCGTCATGAATCTCAGCTACCAGTCGACTGACGCTAGCCTGTCAAGTATCTATCAAACTATAAGTGTTGCTATTGACATCATCTCTGGGAAACACATGTCAGCGGAGCGAGGAAGTTTACCTGTCACAAACATGTGTCTTACTCATGAATGAATGCTCGAAGAGCAAACGTCGTCACAATTCAAGGGACGTATCGTGAGCGGCAGTCACGTGATGTTTTCTGGGCAAGAAGTAGTTTTAACCGGTTTCTTTTGAGCGATGCTTTGAAACACTTGATTACATGGTAGAGCTGTATTTACTCCAACCAGAGACTTTATTACAGGTGAAGGCCGTCTATTATTTTCTGAGAAAACCTGTATTCAAATTGAGCAGATGTTGCTTTGAAAGGTGTTTTTCTTTCATGTTTTAAACTGCGTTTTGACAAATTCTTTTCTATACACGGGTATTAAATGTATTCGTGCCGAGTACTGGGAAACAAGTAGATCATGTTATCAAACAATTAACTTTTGAGAACAATGTATTATATTATATTTTTATGAAAAATATTAATTAAAGGTGTGTGTTTTTTACGGATGTTAGGCGGTGCGATTGCCTATTGGTAAAAGCGTTTCGAAACATCATACAGGTACAGGGGGTGAAGTCAATTCCGTCCGGTTTTTCTTGAGTGTTGCGACAAGCGTCGTAAAACTCACTCACTCACTCACATACATACATGTTTCCTATGGCGGGTGGGGAGGGGGGTGGTGGGGGTGGGGGGGTGGTGGTGGTGGTGTCCGTCTCGTCCTGGTGGTAACACTATAGTAAGGCAATACCGCTGACCTAACCAGATGTATGTATGAACAGATCTCGGCTGGCTGGCCCAGTGTTGATTCATACCCACACCAGCAAGTAATCTAACTGTGTCACTGAGGATCAACTCTATGTGTGAACATAGTGTTGAAATCGCACCGTCCTTAAAATCAGCTGTTGAAATGACGAGGTTCTATATGATTAAGCGCCGCTTCATACAACCCGGAAGTCAGGACCATATCAGCACGAACTGACTGTGGTACTTACGCAGCCCCTCAATACACATTGATACTCGCTCGTCTTGGACTTTCGTTTCTTCGTCTGGTCCGTTATAAAATACGTTAAGGTTACAATCGCGCTCAGAAATGTTCTTCCGCTACTTGATCACGTGATTGGGCAGATGAGCATCCGGAGCTAGGAGGTACGATAAGATTCATCATTTAATTAGTTTCCTAAAATAACGAAACATCAAACATCAACTTATATAAAAAAACAGCCTGTGTTTGTTTCACAACAAAAAACCCCAAAATCACAAAGTTAATATGGAAATATGGATAATGTGATTAATCCTCTTTCTTGTTTAACACCTACTATAACATAGACGATCGGCACGCTCAAATCGCTTGACGCTTTAAGCAGTCTCGTTCCGTAAACTTCAACAAACAAAACGTTATCCAACCAAATATATCTCATTTTTTAAACGCTACAAGTGGACCATTGTTCCCGGATGGACCTCCTAGCTGTTCTTATAAGATGACATCACTACTGACGCAATGGACATGAAATTTACAACTAATCGGAGATCGTAAACAGATCTCGCAATCGCCTGGCCTTGACATACACAAAATCTTGTATACAACACGTTTTTAGAAGCGACTGGTATCTGTATGCAGCAAAGCGTAACCACGGGCATTTTAAGCACTTTGTATTTTAATGTTTTCTTATTTTTTGTTCATGTAGTATTACTGAGGTGTGGCTGGAAGATCAAGCATCTAGTACGTGTGTGATTCCCTCCCAGCCTCTATCCACCATAGAAGAGACATGGAGGACCCTGTCCCAGTCGGAGCAGCAATTACTGTGCAGAGTTGCGTCCCTTTGGGACACAGCAACCATTTATAGTGGAATCGAACACTAGATTCGCCCTATTGAGTGTTCCTGGCTTTGTCAGCACCATACCATGTTAGCTGGTTCCACCAGGGGTGAGAGCTGCATCATTTCCATCTCCTCTCACGTCCAGCTGACAGACTGCCATAACACCAGAATACCTTACATGGCTGCAGTGATGGAAGAACACTCACTTCCTGTACAGATGCTTGTCACTATCATAGGTTTCATAAGCCAAACATTTAAATATAGATTTTGGACTGCATCAAATAATTCATTTTTCACTGATTAGACACATGCACTATGTATAAAGTTTTGCTATTAATTTGAAAATGTCTATTTTTGGACAGGTATTCTCATGTCCAGAAAACAAGAAGATAAAATAGTCTGCCAAGATGGAACAAGTTCACCGATTTACATAACACCATACTATTACAGTCCTCCAAGCATCAGTGGGGCGGTGGGGTAGCCTAATGGTTAAAGCGTCCACTCATCACGCTGAAGACCTGGGTTCAAACCCTATATGGATACAATGTGTGAAGTCAATTTCTAGTGTCCCCCGCTGTGGTATTGCTGGAATATTGCTAAAACAGCATAAAACCTTACACACTCACTCATTCCAAGCATCAAAGTCTATAGTCTGTATGTCTATATGGAAAGAAAAGGAAATGTTTCTAAAGACATATTTTATTCAACAATCTCAAATGTGGATTACATGAACCACATACAAAGTATATAAAATAATCCAAACCTGTATCATGCACCACTTTTGTCTTTGTATGGTTTACACACCCTTAACTAGCACCACTGGGGAGGTCACGCGTACACCTTCATCTTATGCAGCTGAAACATAAATATAGTAATAATCATAATAACAATAATATAAGAATAACAAAAAAAGTCAGATCTCTCAGTGTTTTTATAGACTTGTGAGTCATGGTGACTCACATAAATGTTCTTGGGAGTCATTTTCTAAATATGTGATTCATGAAAATATTTTGTCTCCATAATCTACATAAAGGGCTGCGACAGGCCAGCATATTGTTTTGCTGATTGCAGTCTGAAAACTTAAATTGTGTACTGTATGTACTGGAGTTATTCAAGGTACACTTATTTGAAAAAATAATGCATCAGCTGAGTCATATGAAAATATTTTGGGAATATTTTACAAAATTGTTAAGCGGGAACTATGCATCATGTAAAAGCCTGACCTCCGGCTCCAGTAGACACACTGCATACAAATCAACCTGGTAGATACACAATTTGTTTAATATCTGGTAGATGAAGGATATTTATAGTTCTCAATCCCACAAACAAAGAGATGTAGGGGAAATTTGTTTATTTTCATTGTGCTATGGAATTGCTCTGTACATCTGTAATATAGAAACCTAAATGGAGTGTGTATTGTGTCATACTGGTGCACTGACCCGTGGCAGAAGAAAACCACTTCAAAAACTGTCTCATCAAGGTCAGCAGGTTTAGTAAGTACAGCAATATACAAATCTCATCTAACTGATAGCAATGCTTGAACTGATCCCTGTTACAATAAAGTTGAAAGAGTCAGAAAGGTAATGACAGACACACATTTCACATGTATCACCTGGAGGTGTGATTAACGAGGTTAGAGGCTGTACCAGCTTACCTGTATTTTACCTGTCTCCCTTGAAGATCGTCTCTGACCCTGAAGTGGTCTTGGTTTGACCTTACCGGACCATAAACTAATATGAAAATCTCCTCCATATCCTCCTTAACATGATATATGGATTAATCTAAGGTCACACTAAGTGCCAGCCTGACCAAGCTGACCACTATGTAACATTGTCAAAGTTTGGAGATCTTGTGTCACAACATCATCTTAACACTCCCAAACACATGGACATGTTGGAAATGTACAATTTGTGAATGTATAAAGCTGATGAATGTAAATGATAGTGATTATATATTGACAATATCTTATCACTCGTCTTGTGTTTTGAAACTGGGCAGAGGGGAAAGTAGAAACGTCCTGATGCAGTATTTATCATCACTCCTTATCAAATTCTATTCTCAGAATTTGTAGGTTGTCGATAACATTGGCATTAGATGAGATACACGTCGTTCCACATGATTGTTCTACATCATTGTTCCACACGATTGCTCTTCATCATTGTTACATGATTGTTCTACATCATTGTTACATGATGGTTCTACATCATTGTTCCGCATGATTGTTCTACATCATTGTTACATGATTGTTCTACGTCATTGTTACATGATTGTTACATGATTGTTCTACATGATTGTTACATGATTGTTCTACATCATTGTTCCACACGATTGCTCTACATCATTGTTCCGCATGATTGTTCTACATCATTGTTACATGATTGTTCTACATCATTGTTCCACATGATTGCTCTACATCATTGTTCCGCATGATTGTTCTACATCATTGTTACATGATTGTTCTACATCATTGTTCCACACGATTGCTCTACATCATTGTTCCGCATGATTGTTCTACATCATTGTTACATGATTGTTCTACATCATTGTTCCACACGCATTGCTCTACATCATTGTTCCATGATTGTTCTACATCATTGTTACATGATTGTTCTACATCATTGTTCCACACGATTGCTCTACATCATTGTTCTGCATGATTGTTTTACATCATTGTTACATGATTGTTCTACATCATTGTTCCACACGATTGCTCTACATCATTGTTCCGCATGATTGTTCTACATCATTGTTACATGATTGTTCTACATCATTGTTCCACACGATTGCTCTACATCATTGTTCCACATGATTGTTCTACATCATTGTTACATGATTGTTCTACATCATTGTTCCACACGATTGCTCTACATCATTGTTCCGCATGATTGTTCTACATCATTGTTACATGATTGTTCTACATCATTGTTCCACACGATTGTTCTACATCATTGTTCCACATGATTGCTCTACATCATTGTTCCACATGATTGTTCTACATCATTGTTACATGATTGCTCTACATCATTGTTCCGCATGATTGTTCTACATCATTGTTACATGATTACAGACACTTGTACCTTTATACAGATATTAAGTACAAATCCTGTAGTAACAGGACAGTAAGCTGCAGTCTAAATGCCACTTAAAGCTACAATTAATCTGATGATTCACACAGAATTGAATACGTTAATCACACTTTGTGAACAGCTGGTACATTGCTGACTGTGTCAGTAAACATCTTCCCTCACTGACATCATCTTCTTATAACGAATTAACAACAAAAGACATTATGTGACTGAAATAACTGAAAGATTAATTCAATAAATTATTTCTCATGCCTACAAGCTGTGAAACAAAAATGCATGAAAGAAATGTTGATGACAATGATGTAAATATTTGAGACACTTCCAACTTTAGCTTGCAGCAAAATAACACTTAACCTTTGCTCATTTCACCTGAACACTAAGATCAAAGGACTTGGGACAAACTTGACGATCATACAGGTAAAAGTAGACACCAGACAAACAGGTGAAATTGATGTGGTCCTCAGGTGAAATTTCCACGTTCCTGTCATATGAGTTAGCATTCAAGGCATGATTCTCCCCAGGGGCCATGTGGCAAGGTCATGCTGTGGCAAGGCCAGATAGACAACAGCCCCTTATGTGAAGGAATAAATAAAATACACAGCATAAAAGCATTTCCGCATTTCATGCAATTATGTTTTAAATATCAGTTGCTTTACAGTACAAAAACAATCAGGGATCATGGTAACAGAAAGGATAGAACACCATGGTAACAGAGAAGATAGGACACCATGGTAACAGAAAGGATAGGACACCACAGCAAGAGAGAGGATAGGACACCATGGTATGAGAGAGGAAAGGACACCATGATAACAGAGGGCAGGACACCATGGTAACAGAGGATAGGACACCATGGTAAGAGAGATGAGAAGACACCATGGAAACAGAGAGGATAGGACACCATGATAACAGAGGATAGGACACCACAGTAACAGATAGGATAGACACCATGGTAACAGAGAGGAGAGGACACCATGGTAACAGAGATGATAGGACACCATGGTAACAGAGGATAGGACACCATGGTAACAGAGGATAGGACACCACAGTAACAGAGGATAGGACACCATGGTAAGAGAGATGAGAAGACACCATGGTAACAGAGAGGATAGGACACCACAGCAAGAGAGAGGATAGGACACCATGGTAACAGAGAGGATAGGACACCATGGTATGAGAGAGGAAAGGACACCATGATAACAGAGGGCAGGACACCATGGTAACAGAGGATAGGACACCATGGTAAGAGAGATGAGAAGACACCATGGTATGAGAGAGGAAAGGACACCATGATAACAGAGGATAGGACACCACAGTAACAGATAGGATAGACACCATGGTAACAGAGAGGAGAGGACACCACGGTAACAGAGGGATAGGACACCATGGTAACAGAGGATAGGACACCACAGTAACAGAGGATAGGACACCATGGTAACAGAGGGCAGGACACCATGGTAAGAGAGATGAGAAGACACCATGGTAACAGAGAGGATAGGACACCATGGTAACAGAGGATAGGACACCACAGTAACAGAGGATAGGACACCATGGTAACAGAGAGGGCAGGACACCATGGTAAAAGAGAGGATAGACACCATGGTAACACTGGATAGGACACCATGATAACAGAGAGGGCAGGACACCATGGTAAAAGAGAGGGCAGGACACCATGGTAACAGAGGATAGGACACCACAGTAACAGAGGGAATGACATCATGGTAACAGAGAGGATAGGACACCATGGTAACAGAGAGGATAGGACACCACAGTAACAAAGGGAATGACATCATGGTAACAGAGAGGATAGCACACCATGGTAACAGAGGGCAGGACACCATGATAACAGGATAGACACCACAGTAACAGGGCATATAGGACACCATGGTAACAGAGGATAGGACACCACAGTAACAAAGTATAGGACACCATGGTAACAGAGAATATAGGACACCTTGGTGACAGACACTACTTTCCTGAACACCATGCTAACCTGGACACAATGTCACAGTGTTATCTACCAACACACAATGGTAGACTCGGGCAGTCCGAATGACCCAAGTATTAATGCAAATGTTAATATATCATGATAAATTGGTCATTTGTGACAAAATATATAAAAAACAGATCTAATAGAAATTTTGCCATGACCTAGATCAGGTCCAAGTTCAACTAAAGCCTACAGTACCACAAATCTGACTTCCTAATCCAGGTGTATGTACAGGTGTAATCCAGGTGTATGTACAGGTGTAATCCAGGTAAACCACCTCTGTCAGTATAAACAATCATCAATTGTGTAGTATTAATTCTGATAGAAGCATCTACTCCTGGCAATGAATGAAAGCTTCAACAAGTCTGCAATAAACACTTTCATAAACAATGCTTATATCTGTCTGTTTTGAATAAGAATTCCAGTAATTTATGTGAAACTACACAGAATGACTGGAATCCTACTCCAAAACTAATTTGGGGCTGAGGTCATGTCTGGCTCTGACCCAGAGAAGGAGAAGATCAAAGTGAAATTGACAATCAGCAATTGACGAGATATGTGCATTGCTTATGTCACAAGAACACGTTCCATCACTGCTTATGACAAGTTGGTGGACCCGCCCTGTTAAAGGGCCAGTCATTCACAGTATGGGGTCAAACCATGACGGTGAAGGGCATTTAATAAAAAACCACTATCTTAAGGAAATCAAACTATTCATTTTCACCATTTTGTAAGCACCGTAGTATATTTGGGGAACATTTCTAGTCTGTCTCACAGTCCCTGAACCACATTACTTTCCCTACTGCCTAGCCCTCCCTGCAATGCTAAAGCCCTAAATGAAGCAAGTCTAGATTTCCCAAAAATCCTGAATGTCGCAACTCACTGGGGCTCATTATTAATTCAAATGTGTTTATTTTTTACCATCAAAATTATATATATTCAGGGACTAAGCGTTAGTCTAGAACATGTCCTGAGATTATAGTATGGACACTGTGACTTCCACTGAGAGTGACACACACTGGGAGCGTCATCGATGTTACTTCACCATGATAGATGACTGTCCTCTACCTGCACACGTCCTGGACATGACACAGTACAGCCTCACCAGTTCATGTTTTACTCCCCTGTCTGACATCAGAGTTCCCCCATCCTCTCACGCGGGTCTGGTCCAATTTACAGATGACTGATTGAAGTGACAGACATTTCTGACAGGAAAAAAATGAAGAAAATTAATTCCACAGCTTCTGTTACAAGCGGCTGTATTTGTTTCACCTGTAGGGTGTCGCTGGCATTAGATGCATGGAGTCTTCACATTCAAGCTGTGTGTAACATTCATTGTTAGTCGGTAGAGTGTTTCATCAAATCAGCTCTAATTTAGCAACATTTCATCTCTGATTCAGCAATATTTCAGCCATAAAGAGATGAAATACCCTGGGAAAACATTGTGGCTATGTTTAGATGAATTATATCTAGAATTTTGTAGAACACAAATTCATATTTGGTAAAAGATAAATAATGACAAATGACTTATTATGCAGAATACTTGGCACCGCCACTGGAGAGTGCTAAAAGCTTATTGCCTCACCACTCTGATTTCAGTTGTCCATCAACTTGTTCTCAACTCCCTGGGAAGTCACCACCTCAAGCTGCCTGTTGATTTTGTTAAGTGACTAATATCATGATTAATATCAGGTTTCATTCAGTACTGGGTCAATGTCTACATTCTTAATTTTTTTTTTTATTAAAACACATATCCAATATGACCTCATATGATGTAGAAATATTTTTCAAAATGAGTGTATAAAACATTTCCCTAAGACTGGATTACTTGAAAAAGAATGACATAAATAAATCATCGTGAAGATTCTCTCTATATATGTAACATTTTTTTCCCCTCCACACTGTACTGTGTCCACCTGGCCAAGCAAGTGCTATTAATCAGACCTAGATTCAGCTGGTGGTCATGGCCGTTCCTTTAATTACTCCACTGACCTTGATGAAACAGTTCTCCTTGTCCAGGGCCAGGGCCAGGGACGTTGACAAATCAAGGACACTAATAATCACATCATAGTTGTTCAGACAACAATGAAACTATGTTTTTATATAAATATAAAATACTGAAAGAATTTTTGTCCACATTTACTGATATCTGCTTGTGTGATGTGAAAACTATCTATCCATACATGTGATATAGGACAGAAGGACGGATCATGTGAAGTATATCAGTCTGGGCTTGTTCTGTATCCACTGATGTTTTCTATATCCACCAAGGTGTTAAGACATGCAGAAGTTTGGATATACTCAGTGGACTGGTGGCCTGTGCACATTTAAGAAAAACACAACATTTTTTATATGTATACATTTTACCCATACCTTGACAACTTCTTTGATTGTCACATCCATAAACTTGGTGAACACATAAATGAACCAATTATTTATATTAAAAGGCATTTCCAATAAGACTGTGGATTCTAATGAGTGAGTGGGGTTTTATGCCGCATTTAGCAATATTCCAGCAATATCACGGCAGGGGATACCTGAAATGGGCTTCACATATTGTACCCATGTGGGGAATCGAACCCAGGTCTTCGGCATGACAAGCGGACGCTTTAACCACTAGGCTACCCCACAGCCCCACTGTGGATTCTACGAAAGGGGAAGTTCAGTACGGATCTTGCTGTCCTAGTATTGATCAGCATGCTCGAAAACATTATATCATAAATACTGATGGGCATACACAATAACAGGAATATCACTATTGACCCTTAATAGCTGTTTTTCATGACTTTGAAGGAAATTAAAACTAAATATAGATTAGATGAAAACAAATCATTGAAATGGGTGCAATTACATTATTCATACAGTCGGACAAAATAACAGGCAATCAGAAAGGTTTCAGTTTTGTTTTCACAACCATCCAAGGAGCTGAGTCAACACTATATGCGGCACTCTAATTGTCAACAGCTTTAAGTTTTATCATGTTCGATGAACATACACATGGATGATGTTTGATAAAAAATGGCGGCCATTCACAACATGATATGAACGATACTGAAATAGACGATATGAAATGTAACACAGTTGTGCGAAATACTGGGGCATAACAAAGGTGGGTGGTTATTTCAACTGTTGCATGTCTGACATGTACAGCAATTGCAGTTCAATATACGTAGTTTACACTGCAATTGATTTCCTGTAGCCACTGCCTTCTCTGATAACTTTCACAGTAGTGCCAAACAGTTGGAACATTCTGCCATCCCTGCACTCGTTTACTCAAACACAGTCGGTAATCTTTGACACAATACAAAGGTGTTGCTTAAAATCTGGGCAAATAGAAAAAAATATGAAATTGAAGAAAAAGAGGGTGAAAAAATTCTACATTTGAATATGTTTGTTGTCTGTTGCTACAAAGAAGCAGTATGACAATTAAAAACATTTCGTGGGGCAATGTCTAGGTTAACTGTTACAACCATTGATAATTTCAATGCTAAGGCAACATTCATATCTAAATACACTGCAAAAAACAAAGACTTAAAGATGAAAGTTACCCAGACAGTTTGTACCAAGTCATTGTGCGACATATAGCCTCTGTTAAGACTGTGCTAATCTAGAAGCTTTACAACATGCAATAAAGGAACTGCCCTTTATACACCTTCAATACAAATATAATATTCTTAATATTTTTCAAGGTGAAGGTCTTGAATTTTGCTTAGCCTTATTTACATGTAATGAATATAACAAAACAAAAATACCCATCCCAATAGTTTATACCTGAAAACATTTTAATTTCCGTTTGGTTCGAATGACATATATGAGGCTAGCATTGCTTGTTAGGGTATGTACAAACTGCTGATGGTCCAAATCACACTGATTATAACTGATCATAACACATTTAATGCTTATCAAGTTAATCACTCACATAAAAAGAAAACCCAATGTTCATATTTTTTTAAAGCAAATATATTTTTAAATAAGTACTGTCATTTCTGAGATAATTCTCCTCCACTCTGCCCGAAGTTGGCGGAACACAAAAGTCTCCTGAAACTGATGACTTATAAGCAGGTGGCACACCTGAAGTTGCCAACTCTCCAAGACAGCGCCAAGTCAGTGACAGGTGGTGCACTCACACTGTATGTAGTGTCGCAGTGTATTACCTCACTAATCCCATCACGAAACTCTCCAAACATAGTAATCCAAAACACACGGTTCTTAGGAATCGTGGACACAAACAACGTCAATATCAGTCGATGAAATATTAAAACCTTTTTTGTGTGGTTGAGATGACAATATTGAAATAAACAAGGCTCTAATCTAGTGATAAACAAGTGCATAATCTTGAAATAAACACTCCGGCAAGTAACTGACGTGATGGTTTGAGGTGCTGTAGTCATGTTCGACACGACGTGGAGGCGAATAAACAGGCATCTCCCCAAACCTCCAAACTTCGTTCCACCCCCACCTGAACTACGTCACAGGACAGGTGAGTGTATTTGCATAACGGGATCAATAATTGGAATCAACAACTCTCGTTTGTTTCAAAAACAAGATGGACGCTTTTCAGTGAGTTTAACAAAGGGGACAAACGACTTAAAAGAAATTTGAAAACAGATGTGATGCTTGTTATGTCCCATCGCCTGCGAGAAGACAACTTTCGATTGAAATGACAATATTTGAAAACTAAAAATAAAGCTAGGAATTTCAAAAGAATAACCTGCCTAATCACTGTTGATTTCTCACCTTCCCCACTGAACTAAACAAGTCTTCTCACATGCACATGTCTATATTAAGAGGTGACATATTCTCATCCAAACAAGACATATAACCCCCGGGGCACCTGTATACTGAGGGCACAGAGAGGGGCAAGTAGTATTTCCTCCTCCACCCAAGGACCCCCCGCCCCACCCGCACCCCTACCACTCACAAGTTTTTGTAAGTTATCAATATTACTCTGTATTACAAGAGAAATAAACCTTTCATGAACCCTTCCTTGAACCTGTCAAGCCTTTTGCTGAACCATCTCCACTTTTTGCAACCCCCACTCCCTCCTTCCCCCCCAATATTTACATGCGTCACATCAACCACTCCCTCACATAATCTGAAGGGCCCCCCATGAAGAACCGGGTTAGAATTGATCTGCAGTAACCCATGCTTGTCGTAAGAGGCAACTAATTGGATCGGGTGGTCAGGCTCGCTGACTTGGTTCACACATGTCATCGGTTCCAAATTGTGCAGATCGATGCTCATACTGTTGATCACTGGATTGTCTGGCCAAGACTTCATTATTTACAGACCGCCGCCATATAGCTGGAATACTGCTGAGTGTGGCGTAAACTTAACTCACTCACTCACTCATCTGAAGGGCAACAGAATACAAGAGAGAAGATCTATTACCCAGTACCCATTTCCTTGATGTACAAGTACCGGTATTGTGAAATACCACACATAACATTAATACATAATACCTGTAAACTACAACACTGGGGCACCTGTAATCGAGTATCGCTTGGGTCTGATGTATGTCTCAGATCGCGAGTGCATAGACTTACCTGTAGGAAAGAATTCTATGAATATGTAAGTTTGAAACATGAACTGTTCAGTATAACTTAAATACTGTATATATTTGTTTATCAACACACATATGTCACCAGCTTTGTTTGTTGTATACCACATTACTGTACAACAGTACAACACCCCAGGTAAGTTCTCGTTTGTACGTAAACGTTTTTTGTTGGCTCAGTTATCCATTACCGTCAAGATCCGTTTTTATCTACAGCCACTGCACACACGTAACTTGCCCTGAGTATATGTTAACATAAGCGTATTATGTAAATGCAGAGGATTATCTCAGTGGGAGCACCAGGCTTAAACTTTAATACACTCGGTCATAAAAGTCTTTGTTAAAATTTACATAATCAAATCATGGATTGAAGTTTTGATTCAATGTTTAGATTGACTAGATATTATCTGTACGCCTCCTGAGAGAAAGCCAATACAAGTGTATTGACAGTGTGATTCACAGAGATGAGACTTGTCAGGGGATGAGAGCCCCCTCCCCTGTCACATGTCACCTTTGGTGCATGTGCTGTCAGATCACATTTCCTGTTGACATCACCAGACATTTTCAGACATGGAACGATAAGGACACCTGGCTGATCACCTCAACCATTCCGATTATCCAACGTATGATATCGCCACTGTAGTACGATATACACCATGGACACACTTGATATCGTTATCCTTATCCATCTTAACTTATACACAGAATGACTTGCACTTGATTGGATAGCTCTTTTTAGCGTCATATCATCATAACTTCATACACTAATAATTCATAATAAGGCCAGACGAAGTTTATTTCTTGTTTTACTTGTTGTTTGTCGTATTTGTCAAGAATAAGAAAAAAAATAAAACTTAATTTTCCCTGCTCAAAAAATAATATCCTAATGTTTTTATTGGCCAAAAGTGTAAACTCATACAAAAAGTTTTTTTAGATTGTTTTTTTCCCCATATACACTTCATAAATTGCCAAAAGTAAAATATTTTGAGTATTTAGAACGAATATTACTTTGACTGGTGATTTTATTTTATATTTTTTTCCCTCCTGCCTTTAGGTTTTCTGAGGACAAAAATCTGTAAAACAAGAAATAAAATTGGTCTGGCCTAAACAGTTAAACAAAATCTTCATTTCAAAATTTTGCAGTCTCACTAGAATAATAAAAGAAATAGAACATGTATGTATTTATTATTGTCACATTTGGTAGACAAAATGTCGAAGGACATGACTTTTGATATTGATTTATTTTGCATTGACACTTTCTTAAGAGATAGTGTTCACGCATATCACTCAGACTCTAATCAGCCTAGTAATAACATAGTAGCGAAGTGCATGAGAAGATTAACAAGACTCCAACTCACTCACTTATGGTGTAAGATTTCACAATACAGATCCTTACAACACAACATTGTACCATCATGAAATAGAACCATGGTTATGCTGGACCTTCTTGTATACTGTACATTGCCCACATACAAATCACTATACACAGACTGTTTCACCATTATACGTGGTACAAACCAATCAGAGGTTAATATGGTACAAGCAAAGAAAAAATTACTCACAAACATTCTAAGCCTATGAGAAAAGTTATTCACACTTGCTGCAAAGAAACCAGTCGTCAATATCACGTACATTGCAGAAAAGTGTGAATGTACATCACCCAGCATAGTGATACCACAGAATAAAAACTAACTATGTACATGCACCATTCATTTCCAATGGAATTAATTCCAGGAGAGAGGAGAGTCGATTGAACTCATTGTATCAGAGCTGTACAAAGCTGTCAGCCAGGTCCTCAATGAGCTTGGTCTCAACAACAGTGCACAAACACCTATATACATATATAGGCTGAGCCGTGCCAGCAGAACATTTGTTCTTAGGGGCTGTGAGGTGTGAAAGATTTGTAAAAGTTGTAGAGCTTTTAAAAGTTTGGAAGGTCTTCAGGTACAATATGATTGCCCGCTTTGATGTATTGACAAGACTTTCACAAGAGTGGAAGTGATTGACAGTTTTGAGTGGAATCATAACTGCTGGAGAAGAAGAAGAATGGGCGTGTTATCACAGAGTGATGGGTATTGTCCAGCTCTGTTCTGGACAGGTCTATATTGAAGAATCTTAACAAGAAAAGTATGGAGCAGGCAAACCAATATCAGCACTGAACCATACAGTCCGCTTAAAACTGACATATCTTTTCAGATGTTGCCCAGCTATCCAAGTACACTCTAGACAAACAACTCTACTTTGTGTTTCAGTCCAACTTGGGGTGAGTGAGTGAGTGTGGTTTTACGCCGCTTTTAGCAATATTCCAGCAATATCACAAGGCAGGGGGGGGGTGGAATACCAGGAATGGGCTTTACACATTGTGCCCATGTGGGGAATCGAACCCGGGTCCTCGGCGTGGTGGGTGGGCGCTTTAACCACAAGGCTACCCCACCGGTCCAGCCCAACTTGGAACATGAGTGTGACTGTCCTAGCATCCCAAAGGGGTTTTCGTTTAGGGGACACAAATATGTGTGAGTCTTAGGCTCAAAAGGTTTTAGTTTCAAGGGGAAAATATATGCTTGTCCTTGACCCCAGCATCCCAAAGGGGTTTTATTCTAAGTAGAAATGACCTTGTTCAGGACTTTCTATAGGGAATAAAATACTTCTGTACTTCTGAAAACATATCATTGACTCTAAAAAAAAGAGAAAAAAACAGAGGTATGTATCTCCCAAACATTGACTGTTTCACGAATAATTCTACAGAGGGTATGTTCTCTGCAGGACCAATGCCATGTAAGAGGTAGGTGTCCTCTCACCATAATGGTGTCTATCACAGTATGCTAGGTAAGAGATGGGTGTCCTCTCACCATAATGGTGTCTATCACAGTATGCCAGGTAAGAGATGGGTGTCCTCTCACCATAATGGTGTCTATCACAGTATGCTAGGTAAGAGATGGGTGTCCTCTCACCATAATGGTGTCTATCACAGTATGCTAGGTAAGAGATGGGTGTCCTCTCACCATAATGGTGTCTATCACAGTATGCTAGGTAAGAGATGGGTGTCCTCTCACCATAATGGTGTCTATCACAGTATGCTAGGTAAGAGATGGGTGTCCTCTCACCATAATGGTGTCTATCACAGTATGCCAGGTAAGAGATGGGTGTCCCTCTCACCATAATGGTGTCTATCACAGTATGCTAGGTAAGAGATGGGTGTCCTCTCACCATAATGGTGTCTATCACAGTATGCTAGGTAAGAGATGGGTGTCCCTCTCACCATAATGGTGTCTATCACAGTATGCTAGGTAAGAGATGGGTGTCCTCTCGCCATAATGGTGTCTATTACAGTCACAACAATACATCTGTGCACAGGTCAAACCAGAATAATCTTTGAAATTGACAAAATACATTTGCAAATATAATATTCACTCAAAAAATGAAGCAGCCATGTTTTTATCAGTTGTTGGGATGCATTATTCATGCTGAAACCATTTGATCTCACTGATTTCCTTCATGTCTGAGTGGAAACAAACAAAATAAAACCACTCATCCCCAGAAAAAATCACTATCAGAAGAATCGGACGTGCATAAGTAACACCCAGCACAGAACAATACACATTGTCTAACACGAGTACCTCCCGGAGACAACAGATACCTCGGTCTCAAAGTCACATAATATGATTTATGATCATGTGAGAGTTATTCCTGGAATATATCATAAACCACCCCCTGTGTCTGTGAGCTCGGAGGGAGTACTTTGTCAGACATCACGGGTAGATGTTGGTGGTCTTGCATTCGTTTGGGTATATGTTATGTTGCCGTCTCAGTGACCTAGGTTGGAGAACCAGGTTAGGAGCACCTGGGTTTGAGGACCTGGGTAGGGACTTGGGTTGGAAGACCAGGTTAGGAGGACCTGGGTTGGAGGACCTGGGTAGGGACTTGGGTTGGAGGGCTTGGGTTGGAGAACCTGGTTTCATAGGCCCTGGGATGGAGAACCTCAGGTTTTTCATTGGAGGACCTCGGTTGGAGGACCTGGGTAGGGACTTGGGCTGGAGGACTTGGGTTGGAGGCTTGGGTTGGAGGACCTGGTTTCATAGGCCCTGGGATGGAGAACCTCAGGTTTTTCATTGGAGGACCTCGGTTGGAGGACCTCAGTTGGAGACTTGGGTTGGAGGACCTGGTTTCATAGGCCCTGGGATGGAGAACCTCAGGTTTTTCATTGGAGGACCTCGGTTGGAGGACCTCAGTTGGAGACTTGGGTTGGAGGACCTGGTTTCATAGGCCCTGGGATGGAGAACCTCAGGTTTTTCATTGGAGGACCTCGGTTGGAGGACCTCGGTTGGAGGACCTCGGTTGGAGGACCTCGGTTGGAGACTTGGGTTGGAGGACCTGGTTTCATAGGCCCTGGGATGGAGAACCTCAGGTTTTTCATCGGAGGACCTGGCTTGGAGCACCTTTGTTGGAGAGCCTAGCTTGGTGGGCCTTGTCTGGAGGAAATTGGTTGCAGAGTATAGGTTGGAGGGCCTTGGTTGGAGGGCCTTGATTGGAAGACCTTGATTGGAAGACTTGGATTGGAGGAAATGGACTGAAGGACCTGGATTGGGGACTTGGGTTGGAAGAATTTTGTTGGAGGAATGGTTGGATGAAATGGGTTGAAGGACCTATGGTGGAGAGCCTTGATTGGAGGACATAGGTTGGGGGATTTGGGTTGGAAGACCTGGGTTTGATGACTTGGGATGGAGGGCTTTGGTTGGAGGACACACACTGGAGGACCTGGGTAAGAGGTCTTGGACCTGAGGTTCTTGGTTGAAAGAATACTGTTGATTATTTAGTTTCGAGAGGTCACAGAAATAAGATCCAGGCAGTGCTGACCTTCGCACTGCTGGAAGCCACATCAGCTGATATAGGCCTGGAAGGGACGTCTCAAGACGTGTTACCTAGGTGTTGATTAACTGGCCGAATGCATGACCTGAAAAAGAAAATGCATCACTGAGATTGATGACTCATCAATTTACCTGAGAATGGATGTCCTATTTGGAAGTTTGTGGTCTACGTGATCGGGGAGGAAGACCTGAGGCCATTGGTCACCTCTGACCCTGGCTGCTCACAGTTGATCCCTGGTCAGGTCATGTGATCTAAATCAAATGTCATTTATTTTCTGGAGTGAGGTCACATGACAGGGATGATGCAAGTAATTCTAGCTAATCCTTGTCTGTGTCACTCAGAGGTGATATAGACATCATATGTTGTAGGTAGATGTGTAATTGATTGCAAACTCTTCACCCACCAGCCTCATATCCTCTGGTAATCACAGGTGATATAGATGTTTCTTTGTCATAAGCTGAGTGGATTGATTGTTTCAGGCATAACACAGCATAAGGTTTTCATGCTTGAACTTGAACAGTGCCTGTAAACGATGAATGGCAAGCCTGGAGTGAATGTTGAATATCATTCGTGATTGTTCAATATTTAATAACAGATGTAAACTGACATTAAGCTGGATTTCTATGTTTAGGAAATGCATCCAATATGTCTGAAATAATCTGTAGGAATCATACTGTAATACAGAGATTCCCGTATTACAGGAATGCCATAAGTGACGCCATGCATCACAGACTACAATTACGCCATCATCTAAACCATGGGTTGGTACCAGTAGTCCATGAACCATTACCTGGATGAAGACTTGAAATATCTACAGTCAGACTTGCATAGAACATGGTCATAGGAACCACACATATGTTGTACAAACAGACAGAGATGATGAATACAGTGATGTTGAAGATCTTGATACTGGGAACAGACAGACTATCACATCTCAGTGACACAGATTAATGACTGACATACTTTGTCATCCCTTGGGCATATATAAACCTATCATTATGGAGGGTTCAGTTCCTGGTTTACTCCAACTATGTTTTACCCATGGTGCCACATTGGTTACCAAAGTGGTAAACATCAGAGACAAGCATCACTTTCTGCTTTCCGTGGACATAGAGCTGACGCTGCGAAGACCATTATAGAGCAAATTTGGAGCATATTGATATTATTAAAGGAACAAAACTCCCAACTCCCTCACTAACTCACTGACACAGCTAACACAATGAAGACCATTATAGAGCAAATTTGCAGCACATTGATATTATTGAAGGAACAAAACTCCCAACTCCCTCACTAACTCACTGACACAGCTAACACTGTGAAGACCATTTTAGAGCAAATTTGCAGCACATTCATATTATTGAAGGAACAAAACTCCCAACTCCCTCACTAACACACTGACACAGCTAACACCATGAAGACCATTATAGAGCAAACTTGCAGCACATTGATATTATTGAAGGAACAAAACTCCCAACTCCCTCACAAACTCAGTGACACACTTGACTCCTGAGTTCCTGCTATATGACAACTTGTATCAAAAAGAATGTAATAAAGAAATATATTGACACGTGTAGTCATACAGTACTGATACAAACATTGATCGGAGCTGCTGTAAGTGCAGGCCTAGGGCCATGGAAACCTACAAGTCTGCAGCATCGCTGATCATTACTGTCATATTAAATAATTACACATGGGTCATCTGAGGATTTCCAGTGTGAAACATGTGACCTTTACAAGATAAACGGGTGAATTACAGTTTAGCATATCACTGAATGATAGCGTGTGTCTGTCAGACTCGACTGCTTGTGTAGATTTCAGTCAACAGAAACAACATGGAAATAAACATTTGTTGTGATGTGGGCAGCTGTATCAGTGTATGTGTATGTACTTTCTTAAAACATGTCAGCAACACCTAAATCAAAATATACTAGCTCAATGATTCATGGATACTGTGATAAACATGTTGTTATCATTTCTGATTCAGTTTATTAGAATTATATTTTGTTTTCAAATTGAAAATCTTGGCATCTTGAACTTCTAATAGTGTATCATATAATATATAGTCAAATTTAAAATAAGATCAAATCTCATGATGTTGATCACTGGATTGTCTGGTCCAGATTCCATTATTTACAGACCACTGACATATAGCAAAAGTTAAAAATAATAGTGTTTTACTGATTAAACTAAGAACTTGAAATTGACATGATTTCCTGTGTTTCATTACATATCTGTGATTACAATATTTCTCCACAACAGACATACTTCAAATTGTATGTTTAACAGGGACATGAATATTTCAATAATGACCCTATTATAAAACATGACCTTGTGGAAATTAATCACCTGTGTCCAGATTATAACTACAAAAATAATAAATGTCATTATCACAACTTAAAAACATCAAACATTGATGGATGACACTGAAGAATTTAAATGATCAAAAGGACATGATCATCCAACAAATGAAAAATTCCTAATGATGGGATGAGAGCTGTTTTCATTATAGTAATTTCCGGAAGTGAAATGTCAAATGAAAATCGCCTGTGTAGAGATATGTGTCAACAGATTCCATAATTTAAAGTAGCTTCATCAAATGCCACAACAACACTCTGGCGGACACCTAGTTGTGAGTGAGAAATGCAGAGCCCATTTAGGCAGTGTTGCAGGCAGCCTTTGTGTGAATGCACATATTGATGTGAATGTTTGGGTGAATGTTTGAGTGAATTTTGGCGTGAATTCTTGAGTGAATTTTGGTGTGTATTCTTGAGTGAATTTTGGTGTGTATTCTTGAGTGAATTTTTGAGTGAATGTTGGGGTGAATTTTGGCGTGAATTCTTGAGTGAATTTTGGTGTGTATTCTTGAGTGAATTTTTGAGTGAATGTTGGGGTGAATTTTGGCGTGAATTCTTGAGTGAATTTTGGTGTGTATTCTTGAGTGAATTTTTGAGTGAATGTTGGGGTGAATTTTGGCGTGAATTCTTGAGTGAATTTTTGAGTGAATGTTGGGGTGAATTTTGGCGTGAATTCTTGAGTGAATTTTGGTGTGTATTCTTGAGTGAATTTTTGAGTGAATGTTGGGGTGAATGTAGGAGCGCATGTTGGAGGAATTTTGGTGATTATTCTTTAGTGAATTTTTGAATGAATTTTGGAGTAAAGATTGTAGTAAACGTTGGTGCAAAAGTACGAAGAATTTTGGAATGAATGTTGGAATGAAATATGGTGTGAAGGTTGTAGTGAAGGTTGTTTTAATGTTGATGTGAATGTAGGAGTGAATGTTGGTGTGTATTCTTGAGAGTAGTCTTGAGTGATTGTTTTAGTGAATGTTGTAGTGAAGGTTGTTTTAATGTTGATGTGAATGTAGGAGGAATTTTGCAGTGAATCTTCATCTGAATGCAGGAGTAAGTGTTGCTGCGTATTCTTGAGTGAATGTTGTAGTCAATATTTGAGTGAATGTTGTCGTGAATGTTGTAGTAAGTGTTGATGCGTATTCTTGAGTGAATGTTGAAGTCAATATTTGAGTGAAAGTTGTAGTGAATGTTGGTGTGTATTCTTGAGTGAATGTTGTAGTCAATAATTGAGTGAATGTTGGTGTGAATGTTGTAGTGAATATTGAGTGCGTATTCTTGAGTGAATGTTGTAGTCAATATTTGAGTGAAAGTTGTAGTGAATATTGGTGCGTATTCTTGAGTGAATGTTGTAGTCAATATTTGAGTGAATGTTGGTGTGAATGTTGTAGTGAATGTTGGTGTGAATGTTGTAGTGAATGTTGGAGTAAATGTAGGACTGAATGTAGGATTAAATAATGCCCCATGGATTATTATTTTGAACACCACCAAACAGACAACAACGATGATGTAATAAACTCTAGAAAATCAAGAAATGAACGCAGTCCATGTTATCTCTATAGATACCACTTAATATGTTTTATTTCACATAGACGTAACATGAATCTCCATCAAGACCATAATCCAATTCTAAATGGAAGAACTGATTCCTTCTAAGCCCAGACATAATTAACTCTTAGTGTTGAGACAATTGCCACGCTGTGGGTACCCCTATGACATGCCCACTGACAACATCACAATTATCTCACAGAAGCCATTAATGATAATTAGGGAGTCACAGGTTCAACTTGGTAAGCCTGCAGCCATTGGTCACCTTTGACCCTGGCTGCTCACAGTTGACCCCTGGTCAGGTCATGTGACTCTAAATCAGACTATATTTATTCTCTGGAGTGAGAGGTCACATGACATGTATGATGCAAGTAATTCTAGTTGATCCTTGTCTGTGTCAGTCAGAGGTGAAATAGACATCATATGTTGTAGGTAGATGTGTAATTGATTGCAAACTCTTCACCCACCAGCCTCATATCCTCTGGTAATCACAGGTGTATATATATGTTTCTTTGTAATAAGCATATTTTACAGTGAATCGACTGGATTGAAGCAAGTGTCATGAGCGTTGTCATGTCAATGAAGACTGTGAATTGTGAATATTTCACAATGGATGTAGACAGTGAATATGAATGTTAGAGAATGTTGAATATTTCACAATGGATGTAGACTGTGAATATAAACGTTAGCGAATGTGGAATATTTCACAAATGATGTAGAATGTGAATGTTGAATATTTCACAATTAACATCAATTGTGAATATGAATGTTAGAGAATGATGAATATTTCACAATCGGTCGACTGTTCAGCTTCATAGTTGTTTGTATATCCAACAGTAACACAGGCTATGTCAAAAATGAGCTTCAATACAATTCTGTTTAATGTAAATCCTTTTTAAAACATTTTGAAATAGAACTGTCTTTTCAAAATTAAATAAAATTAAGATTTTCTAGTTACTTAACAAAAGGTCAGCAGAACTGAAAATGTTACGATTAATTGAAATAGCAGTAAAAAAATATTTAAGTGTATTTGTTAAGGAAATGGTTCACAGTGCAAAAGCTTCAAGGAAATTTGATATGTTTAACACATCACCGTGGAAGCACTGATTAGTATAATGATAGCAACTTTTTAAATTTCACGGAAATATTTGTAATTCCAGAACGGGCAATTCCAAAGGTTGCAGCCACCACGGCCGAAGCAGTGCATGTAGCACAACATAGGCTCATTTGTACATAAAGTTTACACGTACCGCAAAAAGACGATCATGGTGAGGAGTAATCCGATTTCAACCTCGCGTATTTCTCAGATGACTAGAGAATTCTAAGTGAACAAATTGTTGCTGGAAACTGACACAGGTCATTGAAGCAACACTCCAGACCCGTATTATTTGGAGATGGATTTAGCCGGACATGCAATACAAACATTTTGAGAAAACTGTCAGGTTCTTCCTTTATGTTGGCGACTACATCTACGACGTGATGTCTAGCAAGAAAGTCGCACCGCATTTAGATGAACCAAGGTGTTGGTCTCCACGCATAGGTTTAAACTCAGCCGTGGGATTACCGCTGCTCTTTCATCGTTAGCGAACATTCGTTAGTTGTGCGTTAATTAGCTCACCAAGTGCAC